TGTTTTTCCATACTGTAGTTTGAGTCTTTGTGTAAACTGTAAGCTTAGTTGTAAGGAAGCTGTAAACTGTAAGCGATCCAGAGGGAAGGGGGAGCGTGAAACTGTTACCTGTCCTGGATAAAGTGGTAAGAAAATAAAATGGATTTTCACCTGTGAAAAGCGTTCCAATTTTAATTTTGTAAATGGTCTGTAAACTGAAAATGTATATAGGAGAAATGTGTATTGCCTCTTTTTACATTTGGAAGAACATCCCAATCTTAATGAGACACTGAAGATATTATTAATAACCTTTTAAATCTGAAGCTGTAAACTTTACTTCAGAGCTACACACCTCCACACCTGCAAGTCAAGATCATGGTTCATCATGCATGAATGAGTCAAATTAAAAATAAAACCTATTTACAAAGAAAGTGGAATACATTAATCAGCTGGGGCCTCTGACGTCACTGCCAGCTGTGTCAGCCAGCTGAGCTAAAGGGAGACCTCTCCTCAGAGGCTGAGGTCCCTGCCAGCTATTCAGAGGGAAAGATGGTGATGTCACCGTGCTGGCAAGCTGGCTCTTTAGATACTTTCGATACTTTTCTTTAAATACGCGATTCCATATTATATTTCCTGTTAATCAAATTTGAAAAGTATGCTTTTGTTTACTCCAATAATGAGCATATTAGCAGAAAAGGTTAAAACATTATCATTTATCACAAAGTATATGAACTTAATATGGTAAGAAGTAGCACGTAAAAAAAGTTTCAAAATAACCACATGTAAAACTGATGCTTTAAATGTTCAGGAAGAAAGTGGAATACTGGTGTGTAGTTTTTCTTAAAAATACCAATAGCAGCCATATACAGTTTACATATGTCTATGCTCCTAATTTAATACCATTTATGAGCATGTGAAAGGCATGGTGAATCGGAAATTCTCAAAACTTACTTTGTATGATTGGATACGAATATGTGATCAGATCAACAAAATGCTTTGCGCTACTTTTTGTCAATGAAAAATAAAGTATTTTTGTTTACAAAGACAGTTACAAAGAAAGTGGACCAGGGTAATACTTTGAGCTTAGAGCCTGTCCAGGGTCATTTATTATTAATACTATTAGTAATATCTTCATTAAAGACTTTGATGCATAAAATATTTCTGCCTATTAAAAATATTTATGATAAAGGTGATAGGTTGTGTACTTTTGTCCAACTGAGCAATCTTGCTTTTATAAAATATACCGACTTTTTAATGTTTAATGATTAAAATGCTGTAATACACAGTTTTAAATTATTAAACGTCTAAAGAGTATACAATTTTGAATTCTTAATTGGAAAAAGACATTCCTTCAATAGTGACCGGGATTTGAAACTAGGCTTTTTCTGGAGACAGCTCAAATGCTGCAAATGAGAGGTTAAGCTTTATTAGCTCCACCTGGCAGTGATTCCAGATACTATTATTACAACTGCGGTAATATACGAAATGACGCGTTAAGACGCATTTTGATGCAATACGTCCACCATGTTTTACGGCAGCGTACCCCACTCATTTTGAATGGCTGCTTCTTTATGTATCTTGTCTGACTTTCTAAAACTCTCTTTAAGTAAAGGACAAAGCTATAGGAATCCCAAGTTATTTAAAAATTAGACTGACCTTATTATAATTGAACTAAATTACCAAATTATATCAACATATTCATTTTAAAGACAATGAACAACAGAAAGCGCCAGGTAACGATTGACAAATGAATATTGTAAGTATGAAATACAGCTCAGCGAGTCACTTACCTGGACCCAGAATCTGTTCTGTGTGCTCTTTCAACACAGTATCCATCTGATGGACAAGAAAAGATTCCTCTCATCTTAGCTATTTAGGTATGTATTACATTATACTACTGCTTTTATTTTAAGCTACCAAAATTTACCTTTAGATTTTCTGTATGTGGATGTAAACCAGAAAAAGGCACATCACTTATAGTAACAACCTCTTTTTTTATATCCAACTGAGCAATCTTGCCTTTATAAAATATACCTACTTTTAAGTTAGTGTTTAATTAGTTTAACATGCATTAATAAACAGTTTAAAATTAATAAAAGTCTAAACAGTATACAACCTAAATTCTGTAAATGGAAAAAGATTGTTCCTCAAAGTTGACCAGGATTCAAAACCAGGTGTTTTTTTTTGTGTAACCCCATACCGTCTTCAAAAAAAACTATTTAAAAACAGCAGTACCCCACAGCCCATGAACTACGAATTACTACAGTATCCCCTGCACAATTTGAATGGTTATAATATATGTTTATGTGTACAGTATGTAAACCTTTAAAAATAATATCGCATTCACAATATGCTACACAAGTAGCAAATAGTACAGTAAACTATTGTTTGTTCGGCTGAGCAATCTGGCTTTGTGAAACAGCCATAGGATTTCACATTTGCTACAGTACCTCTAAGTCTTATTGCTATTTTTATTATTAATATTAATTTAATACTGAACAAAATGTGAGATATAAAATTAATAAAAAATAAACATAGTATACATTATTAAAATATATTGTATTTTATTAGAGAAAGATTCTTTATTATCTTCAGGGGGCAATTTGTAAAAAGTTAAACTGGTGTGTTGGCTGGGATCACACGCAGATCTTCTGCATGCCAGGCAAGAATTCTATCACTGAACCACCAATGCAGCACCTGCGTGCCTTTTAAACAAATTTAAAAACTAGAAGCTTTGTTTTTTTTTTTCCATTACATTGTCAAGAAGCATTATACAGTACATATAAAAATCTATATAAAATATACAATGACAAATATTTAAGATGGCTGATGCTATTGTTGCTTGCAGAGGAAATGAAACCAGATGTGTTTACTAATGAAACAATATTGTTACAAATGGGTGGTAATGGTGGAAATCAAGAATTGACCAAACAGTTTAGTCAATAAGTGAAATAATTATTCCGAACCCTCAACTTGTATGTGCTTTTTCTAGGAAATGCCCGAGCAGTTAGTATAATTAGAGGCACATGAATTCTTTGTTTTCTGGCACAACTTTGTTGAGAGGAGTAACAATCCAGGCACACTTGGTTAAACAAATATTTATTACAAAGACAAAACACAAACTACACCACACACAACACACGCCACACAAATTACTTTATGTACAAGATTTACAAACAAGACATTGCAATAGATTGCTACTAAGCATTAAACCTTTAATATGCCCACAGAGGCCACAAAAGAGATGAGCTGCCTTCTAACTAAATACAATGCACCCTGCAGTTATTTTTTTTCCTACTATCCTATTGAAAATTGATTAATCATGTTATGTTAATAATACAGATCATGATTTGAAAACATAGGTCTTAGATTTTATCCAGAAATGCTATGAACATTTATTTAAGAACACTAAAATAATGTGAAAATGTATTTAATTAGGCTGTGCTGCAAATTTTACTATTATTGATATTCAAAAATATGTTGATTGCAGTTTTACAATAGGAAATACAATATGAAATCATGAATAATATTTGGAAAAAGTTCTTATGATATTTCTTGTAAGACCTGAATCTCTATTTGCATGTTTATCATTGACATCCCTGATACTATGGCTTGTTGACTTGGCATGACAGTGCTTTTAGTTTAATGTACCTTTGAAAAGCTGCTTTGATTTTTTCATTTCTTAAGCTGTAAATTATAGGATGCAGCGAAGGGGTAATGAGATAATAAAATCCACCAATGATGATGCGTCCATCAGGAGGAATCCTTTCCACTCACAAACCAATATACACTACAGTACCAGAACCATAGCACAGAAAAACAACAGTTACATGTTAGGAACACATTGAGAAGGAACAAGTAATAGGTTTATTCCATGCTGAAAAAAAGAAGAAAGAGAACACAACGTTTCAGACGTGGAGCCTTCTTCAGGTATCACACCCGAAGAAGGCTCCACGGCCGAAACTTTGTGTTCTCTTTCTTCTTTTTCAGCATGGAATAAACCTTTTACTTGTTCCTTTGCAGCCTACGCATGCTGAAGCAGCTACCCACCTGAACTACACATTGAGAAGGCCTTCTTACGGCTCTCCATCATTTTTAGTTTCATTACTGATGCTATTATTCTGCAGTATGTCCATAAGACATAAAGAAAGGGGACATAGATTGACAGCATGGCAATTGAGAGGGTAAAATTGACTTGAGATGTAACATCACCGCAGGCTAATGACATTACACTGTGATAATCACAAACAATGTGGAGGATAAAGTTTGAACCACAGAATGGCAAAGTGCTTGCCAGTACTACTGGCAATAGAGGACCTAGGAAGCCCAGCACCCAGGCTGTGAACATCATTGTAATACAGGCCTTGGTATTAATTAAGTTGCTGTAATGCAGTGGTTTCACTACAGCAACATATCAGTCATAAGCCATTGCTGCAACAAGAAATGCTTCAATAGCTGTAAATGAGATGAGAAAGTACATTTGTGCAAAGCAACCTAAGAAGGAGATGGTTTTATGACCTAAAAGACTTTCTAGCATCTTGGGTATAATGGATATTGAGATTAATATGTCTATGACAGCCAAATTCAACAGAAAGAAGTACATGGGCACGTGGAGTCGGTGGTCCAGGGATATTAATGTCACGATGAGCAGATTACTCAGGAATGTGGCCAGGAAGAGGATGAGGAATATGAGTGCAATGTCCTGTTCCTGTAGGGTTGGCAGTCCCACAATGATGAATTCATAGTGAAGAGTGATATTGGGACTCATGGCTCAATTCAGGGGTACCTTGTAGGTAATGAATTAACAGTAGATTATTACTTATTTACACGTAGATCTCATAAAGTACTGTAAAGTATATTGACATATATTTTAATTTTTACTACTTTACTGGAAAAAATGACAGAATACCCCTGAAACAACAAAAGTTCGAATGCATTATTCTAAAACATGAATCCTATATTTACTGACTTTTATCAATATTATAGGGCAACATGGTGACAATAAGTTTAACGCTGTTGCCTCACTGCTCCTGATTTTGGGATAGGGCCATGTCTGTGGAGTGTACATGAAACATACTGTAGCACTCTTGATTTTGGGTAGATTAATACAGAAGGAACAAAATTATATTTATTTCATTTTTGTATTTTGTGTTTAACACTTTCTTATTGTAATACTGTGATTGAGCTCAGTTATTATTTAAGTACAGTAACATTTAAGAAAATCTAAATTCTCTCATATTTGTGCAACACATATACAGTTTTATATTTTTCCCGCCTTCTTATTTAAGTGCTCTTCAATCTTAATTTCAGGTTGTAATGAAATCTAATTATCTTAATTTAACACTGAATGATTATTCTGATAATTAATGAGTCTGGCATTATTAGTTGTTAAGGTCTTTATTTAGCTCTGAAGATATTCACAGTGAAACCAAAATGCAACACCTTGTTTCCCTGCATTTTGTTGCATGCTAGAAGGTTATTTAACTTGATAACAATTCAGAGATCAGCACTTCATCCACTAATTAACTCAACTATACTGCAGAAACACAAAGGTTAACATTATTACAGAATTAATGCTATTCAAGACCTTCTGCTTTCA